CATATATATATATATATATATATATATATATATATAAAAAGCATTTGAAGCAGCACATAGAGGTATATAAGTGTGGGTGCCGCAAATCAGTTTTACAACATTCAGGAACATATGTTTGCACATATACCTAGATAGTGTGCTTTAGCCGACCCCAACAATTGGTAAAAGGCTATGTTGATGACCACCTAGATACTATATTTATAAAAATACATAAATATGCACAAATCATTCATGTAAATGCAAATATGCGCATTTCTATAGCATAGAACTGCCTGAGGTGCCTTAGAACATGGGCACCAGCCCTACCGCCAAGTCACTCGAGCCCTCTTTGCCACCTACATGCCATTTAATTTTCTTTAAAAGCCCAAGAGGAAACAACCAGCTACGAATAACATCACATCTACTTTTTGGTATTTTAATTTCCTTTCAAGTATCAAAATGGTTACATAAACTAAAAAGCCTGAATAATACAGATAAATCCATACAACATAATGATAGTGCACCAAAAACATTCAAACACTATTTCCCATAATAAATAAGTTTCAATAAATGTATCACAAAAGAAACAAGAAAATGACCAATTTGTTGAGCAACGGATATGTTTAAAGTATGGAGCTACCTATCTTTTACGGAACCACATAGTTTGTAATAATCAGGAAAACCTTGCAATCTTGCATTCTCACGTATGGTGAGCACTCGGTCTTGTTCAGGATGCAAGATGGCCTAATAAAGATCCCAAGAGATTTAGAACAAAACAAGCAACTAGAGAAATATTCATCGAAGTGTTAGCTAGTGATATCAAACACCAAACCTGATTATGAGGCTCTGCCCTTGTCACTACAGTTGGAACAGTTACATCCCACCACAAGCGGCCAAAAGGTCTACATAAATTAAACATCATAACAAATCTAGCTTTGAGTATGAGAAAAAGATATATGCATTCAATGCAGGTCACGCTTACTTTTTAGATCGGCCTCTGACAAAAGTAATAGCATAGTCAGGAACCTGCAGTAAAAAACAAACAGTTATTCAAATGCTTAACAAGAAGAAATAAATGGAATAAATTTTATCAAAAACAAAAAAAAAAACTTCAAGACAAACAACTAAGAAAAAAATTTTCACCAAAGGTTTCCCAGATGGCAGGTATGCCCTTTCAACGGAAGAATCCAAATAGACAGTCTTATCCTGGCGAACAAGGACTCCCGGAAGATCTCTGAAATTAGCTCCCTGCAAATTAGTTACCCACACAAATTTAATAACTTAAAGACCAAAGATTTTGTCACATTCAAAAAAAAAAAAAAAAAATTGATGCAATCTATACCTTTTTCTTAGGAATTCTGCACACTCGTTGGTAATCATCTTCATTCAATTGAAGAGGCTGATGATCATAAAGTAAGGCCTTTTCCGATGAGCCATTCCCATTAGAACACTCACCCATCATTTCTTATATATCAAACAACAAATTACAAGTCAGACTATCAATTTCCGCATCATTTTCTTTAAATATTTAATATACAATTACCTAAGTATAGGACAAGTACCAAAAAAGAATTATCGCAATTACACAATTTAACCATCCAAAAATAGTTCACAATAACAAATGGCATAACTCCATGGCAAAGCTAGAACTAAAAAGAAAGAAAATGACGCAAACACATGTGACCAACAAATCCTGAACGATTCCATTAAAAATTGAAAGCAGCAAACTATTTCCATAGATTTTGAGCAACCCTTGAAATAAATTAGCAAAGGAAGCAATTAACCACCTCAACACAAACCATAATTGATCCAAAATAAATTAAAATAATGCCATATAAACAAACTAGGCTCCAAGGGTCAACTTACTATTTGAAAGCAAAAGAGGGCAATTCTACAGTTTATTTCATTTGCTTTATTTTATGAGCATAACCAATTGAACCAACAGTTCGATCAAAATATACCATAGTTTTCAAATGCCGCCATGTAATGCATTATTGGCCGCATAACATGCTATGCAGCCTTGGGCACATTGCCCCCTAGCTGCCCAATGTAACAACACAACTTCACACGATCATGTAAAATCAAAATCCTTTAATAACAAAAAAATATATCAACAAACTAAATTAAAATGTTGTAGGAATGTGGTAAATCTACCTAACTTGATGTGGCTCAAAAAAACTTATGGTAAATACTAGAGAATACCCAACATACTGTTTTTGCCAATTTGGAGGAGCACAAGCGCAACAACAAACTTATAATAACTAAAAGAAAGGCATACATAAAGAATCCTAACAGATTTATAAGGAATACAAGGAAGTTCAGTTAGGAAATGAACGCAATACTTATTAACTTGGTACTATGCTGTACCCTAAAAAAAAAGAAGGGAACCAACACAATCACACAAGGCCACAGAAAAGACATTATTATCTTAACTTCTCTAAAAGATGAGAAAATATCAAGCAATTTTAGATACAAATTAGACACCAAGGATAACACTAACATAAAAAGAATGTTCAAAAAGTAGGATGGGGCCACCTAAGCAGTTTGAGGGCCTGGCCGCTTAAATATAAAACCCTAATTCAAATATTGTATTGCACCAAGGTTTTCAAAACGATATACCTCCAAACCAAAAAATATCCACATAACAATTCACGCTTTCGATTATAAACATGTAAAAGATCTAAAAAGATAAAATAAATAAAAGTATATCCATGATTTAAATCATAATATATTATACCAAAATAATACTAAACCCGAATTCAACTATTGTAACGCACTCACTATTTCAAAATGAAACCAGTATCAGGCCAAACAAGTGTTCTTTGTTTGTCAAAAGTCCTCATATGCGACTACTCCAAGTTCCAAAAACACTTGAGTTTATTCTTTTGTTGTAGCAAGAAACTAGAAGGGACTTGAAAAAAGAATTATCTTGCAAAAAAATATCAAATTTCAGGTTTTCTTGTAAGTTTTTCTCTCTATAGGATGAACAAGAGGGGCTATTAGGGACTAAATTAAGGGGGAAATGCCAAAAATACCCCCAACTGAGGGCAGCTTGACACACTTGGCTTCCTTGCCATAGGGCGAGTGCCTAGGAGGGCTAGGTTACGCCTAGACGCACAGCGCCTAATTGGCCTTTCTAGGTCCCGTCAAGGCATTTTGGCTTCCTAGCTGCTGAGGCTGCTGGTCGGTCAAATTTTGTAATATTGCATAGTACTTAAGATACCATTTCTGAATATTTATTTTGAGAAAGAAGATAAAACATAAGACCTTTTCCAAGAAACAAACTACCGTGGAGCAAGAGGTTTGGTTCATTCCCCCTCAAATCCAGATCTAATTACCTTAACACGCCAAGCAAATGTGGTTTAACATCGAAACCAAGTTCTGTTACAGTTCCATGCATAAACTACTTCACAAAAGAAAGGACAAAATAAAAAGCACATAGGATAAACAAATACCTTCGTATCTGATGTTTCTAACGTGACAAATCTAAATAGCTGACTAGCGTAGCACAATCAAATAAAGGAATGAACAATGTCTATCATACAGCCCAAGCCAAAGTAAAGTGAACGATGCCACTAGAACACAAGGCATAATCAGCAATAAATCACACTTTCTCATCCAATGTCAAGGAAGGTTGTAATACGAAAATGACACAATATCATCAATAAATTAAGGGTGCGGTTTGTATAAAGCCTAGGCTCTAAACCACCAAATTAGAGCCTACCTTCAAATCGTGTCGAGAAATGTGGTTTCAATACTGAAAATCTTTGTAAAAGCCTTAAAATATATTTTCATCTTTATTTATAAAGTTTAAAGCTTTAAAAATAATGTAGATCAATGGATCTATGAAAACTTGAAAATCAAGCAAATTGACGTTCCAAAAATGTGCTACAAAATACCCTATTTTCAAAACTTGAAATCCAAATTTTTTTTTTATGCCTATGCATCTTGATATCGAGATAATCAATTCGAGCATATTTGGGCATCAAAACAACCTTTTCTAGCAAAATGTTTGAGGTAGGCTCAAATTTTATTGTTTAGAGCCTCGGCTCTATATAAACTTTTCCCATAAATTAATTACTTTATATTTCGGTACTGGCGCAAACAAAAGCACAAGTGGCTGCACAAACTTCCAAGTTTATAATCAAACCTATACTATACTAGCTAAACAATACACATTTCTTTTTGAAATTTCCACATCAAAGAGAACCTAATTTCAAATATGCACTTGTCATTATCAACATATTGCAAAATCACAACTAAATTTTTCAATAATAAACATTATCTTTGCCAAAAAAGAATAAACCACATATTCCACGTTAGCCACCATAACTCAAACAATAATCTCCATACCATCAAACATTAACCTTATTTTCAAGAACATAGAGAAAAATATGAATAACACCTCTCTTGAAATAGTCAACCCATGATTTTATCAATCAAATTCATCAAAAAAAGAAAGCTTTGGCTACTTAAAGGAAAATAGATCCTTCGCATGCACTCATTTGTAGTACCCAGCCTTTATTTTTAAAGATTGGACCGAAACCCAATATGTGACATCTTATACACCATACTAAGACCAAAAACTCTCGATATTCTAAAGCATCCTCTATCCGCAAACCCAGCAACCTTTGAATTCTAGATAGCCTCCAAAGTGATGCCAGACCTTTATGGCGTGCATCAAGAGCATTAACCAGCAAACAAGTGACTTGTATTTATAATAAGTTCCCCCCTCCAAAAGCAATTATAAGAAAGAGAACCCATAGGCATCCACAACAAACCACAAACTATAATCATAAAATAATTGTTTCATAAAGTTGAATATTGTTCTCTAATTGGTCAATCAAGACAATTTGTTTGAAAAAGTCTTCATGGACGAACTTTCTTTAGTTGGTTCATGTTTAGCTTGAGGAAGAGTAGCTACGACTTTCCCTCAGGTTAGTTGTAGCAGTTATTTCCTCTAGTAGTTTGAGTAGGTTGTAGCTCTAGTAGCCCTTTTTGTAGTTCTAGTAGCTAGGGAGGGAGAGCTGCCTTCACTTTATAAGGAAGTCAATAAGAGCCCTCTCTGAAACCTGGGTCTAAAGTTGACACCAGAATGAGGATGTACTACAAGAGAAATCCACATAATTTTATAAGTTGTAGACTTTTCATTTGACAAATCACATGTTTTACAGCAAGATTGTTGGATGATTGTGGCCTCTCAAGGCCCCAATTGCCCTTGTATTGTGGTAGATTTCGCTCCCGTAGGAGCATGGATCCGAAAGGGATCCAATTTTAGGTGACTTGTTGGGTCTAGGCAGTCTAGGGCCTAGAAGAGAGGAATTTTGAGTGACAGAAAACCTATGCCCATGGGGATTGCTTATGGTCCAATGGGTACCGATGAGGGTCTCGGATCATCCATTAGTCAAAGTCCAAGATATTCCTATGGTTTGGCCAAAGGGTAGAATCAAATCTTCACGTGGGGAGGTCAGCCTATGAGGAAGAGGACTAAAAGTTCAACAACCACCTCCCCATGGCATGTGCATATGACAGCCACATTTTGGGGAAACCTCCTTCCTAGAGAAGTTTCTGGGAAGGGTACACAAAAAAGCTTGAGAGAGTGACCTTCACACCCATGTGTTGTGCATTACTTGTCCTCAAGGTTACATCTAAAAATTTTTATCCAAGACTATCACCATCTATTGGATGCTTTCGACCAAGCATGAGTATCTTAAGACTGAGGGTCATGAATTATGTTGGGCCAATTTGAGAATATACTGTTAAATTTCATGACAAGCAAAGCGAAGCACCCTGGCATTGTGTAATTATAAGCACATGTATCTAATTTTCCTATAGTATTATTTTCGAGAACCAAACCTTCTAAAATTGGTAAAAGAAACATAAAAATGAGTTTTGGGGACGTTTAGAAATTCAAGAAAATACTTATTGAGGAAAAAAAGCCTAATAAAAATTTTAAGAATAATTGCATTTAAGGCAACAAAGGCGTACTACGACATGTGAGTCCCAAGTGCCTAATGGCCCTCACGTGGGTCCATGAACGGCCCACAAGTCAGCCACTAAGGGGTCCCACACAATTGATGTCACAACATCAGTAGCTTGGGTGCCAATAGCTAGTCATATATGCTGTGTTTATTTGCTTAGATAATCTTGATACCCCTAATATTGTAATATATCACTGTGTACATGAGTTTTTCTAGATGGCACAAACCTAGAAGTGAAACTCAAGACTAAGGGAACTTCTATATTTGATCTCAGGGAAAGAAAATTGTCACATGATGGTTGCTCCATATGTATGGACACGTATCACTACCTATTCATCCCAAGTGAGATTAGTTAAGAGAAAAGAGAGGGTGTATCTCAACTTATCCCAATAATTACAAAACTAGGAAGATGTGTGATTTGAAATAAAGGGCACACCCCTCCCATTTTGTCCCTCTCTCTCATAACATGAAATAATTTCATTTGGATAAGGTTCAATTAATCTAGACTGCATAAGGATTTTTACATTAAAGAGAAATTAAAGGATTAGATTAGATAGGAGATAATGGTTATCAAATCTCATCCATTAATCTATGTTAGCTAGTTAAGGATGACTGACTTGGATTGAAACTCCTCCCACCCTATGATCTCCTACATCAGTGGCCCACAATGCACCTCCCAAGAGAACCCTCTGCACTATCAAAAACCCTAAGATCTATCTGAAATAGGAGTGTCCCCCCTTATTCCACAAGTCTGTTAAGCATTGTTATTCTGTCAAATTTCAAAGAGAAGCCTTATTGAGTGGCAAGCCCAACCTACTAGAGAGAGTAAACCAAACTCGTAGTGTGTGACCTTGTGCAGTCCATATGTCTCAGCCATCACCTAGACAATACAACTGATATGCACCACACTTCATCTCCACGACCTAGACTCATTATTGAACCTCCAAGACACTCACCTACATGTTGTAACACCTTCTCCCTTAGTGATTACAGCAAGGTACAAGCCTCTCTAACATCCTCAAAAGGCCATTTCTATAAGTCATCACTTAGAAACCATATGCTCTTCAAAGCTCCATATTATATTGTCCTCATTTGCCTCTGAGATGACCATGCCACACAAGAGATTTTGGACACATACCCTACTGTTATAACAGTCCCTCAAAGTGTAATAAGAAAGATTAGATTGGTTCTCGTTTGGCTTTCAAGTTACAAGAAAGCTTGTGGCCCTTGAAACCCACATTAATGAAGAGTACCAAGTTTGGAGTGTTCTAAGCCTCAAGGAGGTAATCCTGGGTAGCATTCAGATAATCAGTTCTCCTTATGGGCCATTCTCTTTGGTTTGAAAGATTTGTTGAGTTGTAATGAGAAGATGTAGCTTTTACTTGAGATCTAATGTGTCTTGAGCATGTTTGATGTAATTGCTTTATAAGTCTGTTGCTAAACTTTTGTCCAATTAAACATTTTCTTATATTCAAGCGATCTCTTGGTGTCCAATTGAATGGAAAAAAACCAGGGTTATGATGAGGTGTTGGTTATGACGAGGTGTTCTTTATCTTGTTTTGAGTCTTGCATCAAAAAATTAATTGGGCCTATATCTCCAATTTCATTTTATTCCATGGGGAAAATGTATGTAGAGGGTACGCATGCATATTCTTTAAAATTTTTAAGCTCTGTTCGCCTTGAGAGTGGATTCTACAACGAATAGAGCTAATACAAGTCTCCCAAATTGTTCTGCCAAAACAGTTACATCAAGAGCTCCGTGAACCCGTGTAGAAAAGTTTATCACATTTTGTTGCATTCCCCATCCTAAACACTTCACCATTCAATCCACATGAATATACATTTTTTAAAAGGCTTCTCATTAAACATAAGCCAAGTAAATTTTCACCCAAGTTTATGCTCCAAAATAGTCACATCAAGTGCTCAATGAACTTGCATTAAAACTTATCAAACCTTTGTTACAGGCTGCATTATAAGCAGGCCAACATTCAACAGTGTTGAATGTGCAAAGCTTATATAACAAATTTGGTGTACAGTAAAACACAAGCCACATAAACAACAACCAACAGAGAAATCTTCCAAATGCTTAAAGCACTGAGTAGTCAAAACTCACTTGTATCATTCCTCTTACATATAAGAAGACCAATAATGAAAATCATGAAATGAGTAGTCAAAACTCACTTGTATCATTCCTCTTACATATAAGAAGAACAATGATGAAAATTGTGAAATGACCATGTACAAGATATGCAGATCAACATATCAATGACATTCAAAACTAAAACCCTAATGAAACAACAACTAATTATGCAATATATATAGGAATAAAATGGAACAAACAACAAAACATTAAGTTCCCACGCATGCCAAATAAAAATCCTTGGATTTTTGGCAATTTAGACGGCTTGTCAAGTCACCAATGGTGACAAGATTTAAATTGTGGCATAACTACAAGTAAAATAACCCAATCAGAACAAAGATAACCACAACAAAAACATGAAAGTGTATGGCATCTCGTACAATCGACTCCATCAAAAGAATCATGAAGGAGAATTGTTCTTAAAGAGTTATGCAGCAACCTTTCCTGAAAAAGGTAAAACATTGCCTCAATAAAATGAAGCATTTATGGTGTGTAAGTGAAAATTCCTACAATTACGACCCAATAACCTTTAACCAAGTAGGATCCAACAATTATGATCCAACAACCTCTAACCTAGTAACAGCATATACTCATCATGCACATCCATGCATAAAATGAACCAATGTCTTAAAATTATAGGATTTGGATTGGTCATTCACAATGCCGATCAAGATAAGCAATTCCAATCATGATCAATCAATTCTTCAAGATCAAAATAGAGAAATATAGCAAAATGGAAAAAAATACATATTTATAAAAAACAAAAAAACAAAATATTATGATAACTTTCATTCAGCCTCATCCCAACTATTTTTAGGTTGGCTACATGAATCCTATTCCACCGTTCCGATCTATCAAAGGCCACACCCACAATAAGACTAAAAGTCACCATATTTATACAAACTACTTCCAACAATGTCCTTTTGAGCGTTCCCCTTGCTCTTTTAGAACCTTCCACTTCAACACAATCACCCTAGGAACTGGTGATGTTCTAGTTCAACACCAAATAAATCAACTTTGAGTCGCCTAAATTTGACCCGAATCACCAATCCTATTGACAAAATCACCAAGGTATATGACAAAATCATGGAATTCCCATCAAGCCTAACAATTCAAGGTTCTGTAAAGGAATTGTGTCCATCACCTACCGAATATAACCCAAATCGACAATTCCCATTCCAGTTTGCCTATTCCCAATCCAAATTGCCAAGTTTTAAAACACCATAGTGAATTTTACCAACTGAGACAACATAAAGAAGCCTAACAATTGTGATAGAACATGTTCCAATACAAGCCAAAGATTGTTATACAAAGTAAAGTCTTACCAACATACATGGAAATAATGCAAGTTATTTCACAAGGAAAATTGTTTTGCACAAGCTAGCCAGCATAAAACCTCCATTGTCCAATTTGTACACGGTGGAGATTACAAGGACACGCAAATGGAGGATATTTATATAGGCTAGCATGCTAGCCTGCATAATAACCATGTCCATTTTATAAAGAACCAACTTCCAAAAGAATAGCAATCCATAATCAGGGTGTTCTTTCATTAAGAGCATACTATCAAAAACCGCCAACACAACCACATACTCTTTTCAAAGTCACATCATATTTGAATGATCACTTCAGGACAAGAACTATAATACTTGTGGAATTGAACTACTAGTGGCGACGTCAGTATGAAAACTAATTACCCGACATCCCCCAAAAAATAAACACAACTTACGATGTTTCCCCAAACGAATATATTTCTGGAACTCTGTTCTAGGAGGTCTTTCATAAGGAAATTCATCTCGAGTTTCAAAATTCGTTACCTACAAGAATGAACACGACAAAATTAAGGATTTGTGTTACCTACTAAAGTCATGGCACGATTACACTCACATTTAAATCAAAAAGTACCTCCGGCAGATCAGAAATGGCATCACCAAGAAAAAGTGGCTGTTGCAGTTCCCGAGATTGGTCTGCATCACATGCAACAAGGTGGCCCTATATGTAAACAATCAAGAGATTCAGTAATGATTGCTTTCAATAATTTGATGGTATCAAGAAACAAGTACAGTAGCATTACATCAAACTCAACCGGAACATGATTTCTCACAACAACATCATGCGTAGGAAGTGGGTATTGCGGCAATTTCTGCAAAACATATCATAAAGTAAATATAAGAAAGGCAATTTTTCTATTATCTACCTAAATGCCAACAAGAAAACTTGCCTCAGTTGGCTGAGCACCCCAAAGGAATACACGCAAACGAAACTGGGGGAGACCATAACAACCAGCAGCCATCATGCCAAGTCTCGCTTGATAATTCATATGAACCAAACGACTCAAGGCATATCTACCAAGAAATCCATTTGCAAACTTCAGAATATCACCTACATTCTCCATTAAAACATATTTTGGTTTGAGGTAGTCAACTACATCCATGAAAACAACCATTTGATGATTCTTCGGATCATTTAGGGGCTCTGCATAATTCCTGAACCTATTGAAGCCACTGATTCCTTGACAAGGAGGCCCACCACAAATGACATCAACATCACCCTAAACATGCCCAATTAGCAATATTATACAAAAGTTAAACTTTATTGAAAAAAGGATGGACAAAAAAGTGAACACGAAATCTAACGGCAAGTTAATCCCTTAATGATTACAGGTCAAAGCAATTTCACATAAAAATATTAACACTTACAGGAAGAGGTAAGATCCTTGCCCTATATCCATTTCTCACAAATTCCTTAATCCTTTCTTTACAATTGCTGGGAGTTAGGCACAAAAAAAGAGGCATCAGCATGAGTTCAAAGAAATGGAAAGGAGAAAACAAACTAAATCAGTGAAAAGAAGACAGGTGCAGAATATTCAACAAGAAAAGAAGCACGATAGTACACCTTAAGCCATCCAGAGGTTCCCATGTGTCATCACTGGGACCATATCCCTTCCAACGCACCTAACATAAGGAAACCATTAAAAACAAAGGGAACACAAAAAACTCAAATAAAATCCAATAAAAAGAGCACATTTTATAAACCAACACTACAACAGTTCTAACAATCATTTTGCAAGCAATCAGTGTACAAGAATTCCAATTGTCAAAAAAGAATGCATTAATTAAAATATTACAAGCACAACTTCCACAAGAAATCATTTCATGCAAATTTCAACAACGAAACCAATATGGTCACATTTAAACAGTCAATTGAACATGTATTTTGAAAACACATTTTCAGCATTTTTTCTATATTATCCCAATCATGACTTTAAATGTTTCTATGGCTTTACAATGACTTTTTTTCTTCAATTCATCATAAGCATCACATGATTCAACAAAGATTTGAAGGCAAAATACTTATACATCAAAACCTTGCATTATCAGTAGATTTTCCCCATTGATTTATCCAGCTTTTGCATCCCATTTGTAACACATCCTTCAATGTAACACTTAGGATACTAAAGCAAGGCAAGAAAACTCACCAGCTACACAAAAAATGCCTCAACACAATCAAAAAACATTCCAAACAGAAGCTGGAACAAAAAACAAACTGAAGTTTGCCACACTAAAAAACATGATCCTATAAAAACAATTTACTATAACAATCCAGGTCTAAATAATCTGAACAAACAACAAACACATGAAAACCAAAATATGATCGTAACTACCAACTCAGATCTAAAACAAGCATTCCAAACATCAATATTGTAGAAGAAACAATCAAATTCATCGGCAATCTCTTCAAGAAGCATGGCACGCTCTTAACTTTAAGCACATTTTCCACCCCTGAGCCAAAATATTTTTAAAGTCAAACTAGTAAGAGCTTAGTTGTAAAAGAGTACCTTGAACTTCAATCCAATTTTCCCAGTTTCGCTAGGATCGCCATAACAAATACCAACCAGTTTCCCTACTTCAAATTCACCAGGGGATAACTTAGTGTCATCATCAGACTCTTCATCATAACCATTATCAGTTGCCTCAAGGCGCCACCGTGACTTCTCAGTTCCAATAAGTGAATACTCCTTGCAAAGTTCTTCCCATTTCCTCAATAGTTTCAAGAAATCCTCAGCAGACTCGTTTCTCACCTAGTGCACAACAGGATTCCCATTTAATCACCTGTGAAACACAAAATAAAAAGAATATTCCGAGGAGGAACATCCATACCTCTGTCTCTGGGTGGTTCAGCTTAAGACTATCGCAAGCTGATTTGTTCATGTCAACAGCCCACCTCTAAAAATGAGTACTACGCAATTAGATTATAAACTGGGCTACAGCTTAGATCAGCCTTAATTTGCTAGAGTGATCAAGCAATGAACTTTAAAGGTTCTGTATCCTAAAACCAAAGCAAGAAACTGAGTGGTAGACTTACAGTCACAAGGTTTACACCACAAAGCTTGGCACCAAAACACAACCCGGTGGACATCCCACCGCAGCCTGAATAGAGATCCAATAGTGAAAACCCTGACTTCTCATATGACTCACTTGAACAACCTCCATCAGAATCAGATTTTTCAGCGCCATCAACAGCAGCCTCGGAAGAAATAGTAGATGAATCACTATTAAATTTCAAGTTATCTGCAAAACACCATTCAACAACAATAATTTTCCACCACCCATAACCAAGTATGCTAAAACGAAACTGCTCTTTCACCCAAATAAGCAGAGTTTTACAACTCTAAAACTAAAACAAAAAAAAAAAAAAAATTGTTAAGACGTGTATAGCACAATCTAAACAAGGCATGATATTGTGCAGTAGTTCAATTCTTACTTTTACCGATAAAAAAGCAAACCAATAATAAAAAGAACATCATAACCATTAAAAGTAGATAATAAGACTATATATAAGTGGATTTAATTTGGCATAAAAAACATTAAGAAATAAAAGAGATAAAATAGGAAATATTACCACTCTTTAAGTTAGAAAAAGTTGAATAAGGAATAGAATAAGACATATCATAATAATAGTCACAAGGTGGAATGGATGCCGCCTTTGCCACCAAATCCACCTACAAAAGCGTCAGAAAATCAGTAACAGAAACAAAAGCAAAATCAAACAAAATACAAAAAACAAAACAAAGAAAAACAAATACACTGCACATTCGCAAAAGATAACAAATCGAATGCTTACATTGGGAGCCACTTGTACAATGTGGAGTTTTGAAATGATGCAGTCAAGTAAATTGTCATCTTTCATATCAGAGTAGAAAACACGTTTCTTGTCATGGAAATCAGCAGCCTCCTCTTTAATGACCTGAGGAATAAAGAAAATACAATTTTAGCATTATGGAATTAAAAAAAGAAGCCACAAGGCAACATGAACAAGCTAAAGCAATCTCACAGTATCTTGCGCTTTGAAAAACCACTGGGCGGTGAAATATCGCTGGCCATCAGTAGTTTCAAATAACTCCACAATCTTTCCGATGTAATCTTCTCCTCCTTCTTCCCCCTGACATGTGACCATTTTCATATTCACGACTTCAGACCAAAGTCTCAAAAACATGCAAGATAACAAGAAAAATGAAATTATCAAACCAAAACAGATTTTAACTGATCACTTCCCTACAATAAAATGCAATCACATCCTGCAGCAATGGCACAAACAAGCAAAAGATCCCTACAGAACTCTCGAAAAAAAATTAACCGCTGAACCAGAATAGTTGGGAAAAGGCTCTGAGAATGATGATGAGTGATAAGCTTCAAACCCAAATATACAAAGACCACAAATACAAACTTCATATTTAAAAGGAATTCTAGAAAACCAATATTGATAGATCAACCTATAAACCACAATCACTTAAACAAGATTTAATATTCACCAAAGCCAAGTACTCAAAGACATATAATGCCATACAAGAACAATGGAAAAGCAACTGACCATACCATGCCCAAAAAAATGCACACAATAATATTGGCGGAAACTTGACAAGCAGCAACACAATACCATGATACTCAATTGCATTTCCAAACCATAAGACCATTAAAAGATAACAACAACCTAGGAACATTCCTAGGTCTTATCAAATTAACTTAAGCACAAAGAAACCACACCACCAGAAACAAGCAGAACACCCCCATTTACATCCTTAGACAGCTATAATAAAACACAGTATAGAATATTGTTGATCAATAACCATTGAACAAACCTTCCATTGATAGAACAAAACAATAGGCCAAAAAATAATAACATTATAGCACAACTTCTATCGCACTTTAGTCATCCATTTCCTTCAGTATGCAATCTAAATAACCAACTTTGGACACTAAAAAGCCACATCTACAATAAATATGGTTACATTACAAAATGTTTTAGAAAACAATGCTATATATGTTGACCCATACCCAAAGCTTCTCTCATTGCTTTCATTTGCAGGAGCCCTGTTAGCAAGTAGGGTCATTGACAAACCGAACTTATGAACAACCTGAAAATGCAGAAATGATACTATGCAATTCGCAACATAAGAATCAAAATCATGATAGAAAATTCCCAATAAAATAGTTTTAAAAATTTATTCGTATATATTTCGTCATTTGTTATTTGATGATACACACTCAACAAAGCATCTACAAAGTACAAATATAGAAATATTGGCCGACATTACTAAGTTACTACAAAAATCAATGGAAGCTTTTTAAAACCAATTATATTGCCATAAAGTAAACGTGAAGGTTTGTATAAGGTTCCCATTTTATACTATTCATGTAGAGCGCACCTTTAAATTTTGTCAGAAGATGGAGTTTTGGTGTTGGAACCCTATGATGGCTTGAAAATCCATGTTCAACTCTAGTTATGGAATAGAAAATTTCCAAACGTAGTACAAATCGAGCAAATCTATAAACACTTGAAAATAGACGGCCCAAATAATTTTTTATAAGATGTGCTATTGTTAGAACATGAAATTCTTTTTTTGTTGATTTCCATAAATCAAGAGGTCCAAATGATCAATTGAAAGGTATCCTAACTTCAGAACATTATTTTTCACTGGATTTTTAGGTGCGACTTACTTCTATAGTATAAGGTTGCAACCTTATATAGGGTTGCAACCTTCTTTTTTTCTGAAGTTTACAGATTCAAAAAAAAAAAGATTGCAACCTTATATAATTTTTTTCCTAAATTAAAACATTAATTTTTCAATTTTGGGATGGATGATATGTGGTTCAAACACAAGCTTCCCAAGCAAAAAAAAATCCAAACCCTAATCACAAAATACTCTTTAACTGCCACGCACACAAAAAATGACACTAGATGCTAATATGTGTGGGCATAACAAAAACTAAAATATGATTAACTAATAAACTAAATAGCAAGCATAGAATCCGAAACAAGGGACCTAGAAAATGCAACATATACCTACCAATGTGTTTTAATGAAGTACAAATACTTCCAATATCTCACAAAGAAAAATTCAATATGAAACTATTCTCAAAGCCAATAACCAACATGAAATGAGAAAGAAACTAAAGTTGTAAAAGGAATATTATATAAAGGATGCTTGATAAGAGTTTGCATTGCGGTGTACATATAGGATAAAATCCATATCACACAAAGTAGTAAGAAAAAATGCACGTATGAAACAGGAAATATCTAGCATATACTCAAAGCACTGCAGCTTTATTAATAAAGAGACATGATACGATACAGAATGTTGAAGAAACTTCTAGTTATTCATTAATCTAAAATTGAGAAAAATGTATAGAGAGAGTGTGAGATCAGTGAGAAACATAAAAACACATGTCATGCTACAATGATATCCCCATTACATTGCTTGCGCTTGCCACGAGCCTCAAGATGGAAACCTCCACCTAAGGGGAAGCATAAGCTCAACTTTGATGGCTCTTCTCCCAATAACCTTGGTCCTTCAAGCATTGGAGCCGTCCTCTAAGACCACCTCGACAGACTGTGGCAATAGTCACCAAACACATTGGCCACACTGAGTCCATGGAGGCCAAAGTGACGGCACTCTTGTAAGGTCTAAAACTCATCCAACCCTTCCACCTACATTCCCTGCTCGTGGAGGGAGATTCAAAGAACACAATCCCTTGGGTGCAGAAGCTTCCTTCCTCCCACCCCCCTTGGCATCTGAATCACTTGTTTGACAAAAATTGAACACCTTTGCAAGAATATGTCCATCGTATGGATGCATACATGGAGGGAAGGAAACCAAGCAGCTGACTCCCTTGCCAAAGAAGCAGCAGCAATGGCAAATGACCAGAAGCTTTTTGGCATTTTTTGTTTTTACTCTCATTTTTTGGACCCATTACATTGGACTGACCTGTTTTTCTAGGTTGCCATGTCTCATTGTAATGTCTTAAAAGAGGATTTTTTTTCCACTTTTGACCTTCTCCTCCCTTGAGCATCCATCCTCACTGTGGATTGCCAAGGTCTCTTGTACTCTTTCATTCTCTTATTAAAGGTTGAAACTTTCCAAAAAAAAAAAAGATATCCACATTACAAATACAAATACAACTGTCTATATCTGATTTGAACAGGCATGTTGCAAACAAAAAGGCTAAGAATAACCTTTCAAAATAGTAAACATCATTATATAAAGGAAGAGGGAGACAGGTCTTTTTAAGTAATGCAAGCGCTTTTGTTAGTAACAACTCATACGGAGGGAAAGTATAGGTTTGGGTTTCTAATTATTGGACATGCACACCATGTCCTTGGAGCATAGACAAATGGATAACCAATCACAATGTGCCAAAGTTACATCAAGAGCAATTCAAGAATGCAAATAATCACCAGATCAAAACAAAACAAACAATAGACTCTCCATGTTGAAATGAAAAACAAAAAAAGAAAGCAATTTTCAATCATCATGGTGGCACTGGCAATAGATTAGAGACGAAATAATAATAACTAAATAAGGCATTGCCTTTGAGGACACAGAACTGCCAATCAATGTCATCAAGACTGGACCCTTAATCCAGCCATCGGGGCATTGGTCTAGACCAAACCAGTCCAACTGGTCGATTTACCAGTCAAGCCAATCTTGAAAATATAAATGGAAGGAAATAAAAAATGGTGGTCAAAAAACGGCCTGAAACAACTTGAATCGGTCAGTTCAACAGGCCCAATTGTTTGAACCAGCTAGTTCGAACCAGTTTTGACCAATGGCCAGTTGGTGATCAAATTGGGATTGTTTGATGCCTAGTTCGGGTTTGGACCAGCCAGTCCAGTCCAGTATAATGACATTGGTCGCAATCATGGTTAGCAAATAAGATAGTAACTATAAATAGGCAAATCAAAAAATATCATACTACATTGTTTCTAGAAAAAAAATTGGAGGAAACAAAATCAGAGCAACTTAAAAATAAACAAAAGTTTGAAAATCATCAATATTTGTGTTTTGGCCCAAAGGTTGTAGTGAGGAAACCAAATGCTTATAACGACACAGTTTTGTATTAAAAAAAAAATGAAAAAGGGGTGCTATTTTTTATTCCATCAAAAAAACACAATTTACTAAATATATTTTGAAAATACTGGATTTTTAAATATATTTGAAAATATTTTGTATTTTTGAGAGATTCAGATTTCTTCGGATACTTTGCTAATTATGGTTAAAACATCATAATGAATATAGTTACAAGCAAGAAGCAATGTGAGCTAACATAGAAACTATCAAACTCTGTAAAAGCAAGCCCATCACCAGTAAATTCTCGTACGTGTTTGAAAATGATTACTGAGTTTTTTTCCTGTAATTTTACTACTAATACGGGATAGAATATAAAATAATGAAAAGAACATAGAAAAACACATATGTTACCATAAAATCTCGGCTCGCCAACCAATATGCCTAACAAACTACGAGTTTAAACAAACATGTACATACACTAGACAAGTATAAATCAGTAATTCATGACAATACCTTCACAATAGCCGAATCATTTAGAATGTAGATACAACCATCAACTTCACATTGCTCATAATGGCATTTTACATTTAATGCAGTCTCGCCTCCATTATCTCTGTTAAGAAAAAAAGTTCAAAATAAAAAATATTGATCTTAAGGAACAAAAAAGCATCTAATCACATGATCAAATGAATGAACCTTTACCAAAAAGAAACAACAATAATAGAAAACAAAAACGACATTTGTAACAGCGTACCCGTTTGAGGAAGTAGATCCCCTTTTGTCCTTCTAATCACACCAAAAAAAAAAAACTTGTATTATTAAATGGATACTGTAAAAGTGTAAAAAGCTCTTATGACACGTAATAGAGGCACTTTTCATTATTATTACCTGTTTATTGTACCTATGAGACCATCTTCGTTGAGCTTCAGAAACTGGAACTGGATCACCAAGAAGCCTGCTATCAGGAACCTCGTCTGAAGTGCGAGCCTTCTTAGAAGATGCCTTTGAAGTTGAAGCAGTGGTGGGTTTTCTCCTCTGAGGCTCCCTCTTCTTAGCAAGCATCTCTCCCATCTCTTCCATCTCTTCCATCTCTTCCATTTCTTCCATTTCTTCATCCTCCAGAAAAGCTTCTTCTTCTTCACTAGCTCCAATCTCGCTGAGAGGAGTGGGACATGGAGATGGTGCGATGCTCGAACCATAAACCGCACGAGACCTCTTGACACCCTTTTTAGCTGCCATCGCAGGTAAATAATAAGCAAATAATGGCTCTAAAAAAACAATATCTTTCTTCTTTTTTGATTGGTAATGGCCCAACAAATCAATCAGAGGTAAATTATAGGAAAATAGAAAAATCAATAGATAAAAATCTTCAGAAATTGTGGAAGGCAAAAAAGCGCGGCCAAATGAAAGGAGCGTCAACAGAACAGTGGAAGTTGTTGAGAGAGAGAGAGAGAGCCCAGTCAAATGAAAAAGGGCTTCAGTGCCTAATAGAAGCCAGTATGAGCGAGAGAGAAGCCACTGTAAATGAAAGATCAAAGGAAAGAGATAGGGCACAAAAACGAGATATCTAGAGAGGGACGCTAGAATGCAAGTAAAATAGAAAAATCTTCAAACATTGGGGAAATAGGAAAAGCTCGGTAAAATGAAAGGTTCGTCGATCAAAGAACAGCAGAAGCTAGAGAGAGAGGGAGAGGGCAAGAGAGAGAGAGAGGGAGAGGGCAAGAGAGAGAGAGCTCAATCAAATGGAGAAGAGCTCCAGTGACCTGAAATCCTGAATGAGAGAGAGAAGGGGAAGGAGAGAGAGAGGGAGGCCACTGTAAAATATGAGAGAGGGAGAGAGATAGGGCACAAAAAAGATTGTATTTATATATGTTTAGAGAGAGAAAGAGATAGTTTAGAGAGAGAAAGGGTGTACATCGTGCTTTGGGGGATTTCGAAGAGCGGGGATGGGCGGGAAAGCGGAATCATTCGAACAAATTAACAGAATTTAATAATCCAAGGGAGGAGAGTGTCTGGGGGTACTCCGAATTCTGAAAAATTGGTCCGCGCCAGGATGACGAGATGGCCATTCGGTGAGTTGTCAGCGTACAATTGGTTGATTTCAAATTCTTTTGTTATTGTGAAAGTCATATTTGCTTGAGAAAAAATCTCTAGCACTCTCATGCATGAACTTTTTTGTATATTGATTAATTTTTTAGATAGTGCATTATTTTTGTGAAATTAATGGAGACAGTATGTAGGGTATGAAATTTATACCCTGAATGGTGAGGCGCATGAAAAAGTTGTTTTTTTTACAAAAAAATTCTCTAGATAATCATTTTAACCTTGAGATATATGGACATGAAAATAAATGATTACAAGTAATTTTACTAAATTTTTTATTTTTAATATTTTTAAATTATTAATAGATTTGATGGATGTGCACCATTTTTTCAACTTTAAATTCCACAATTAGGATGGAAACAAACATATTGTCGTAAGTAGCAACAAAAATACATCTTCTGATGGGGTTTGGAAGTGCGTCTTACTTTCATTGTTTGAGGCGGGTGTCTCGTGTAAGTCGCACCCCATAGTTAAACACCCATAATTAATGCAATCAACACAGTGTTATTTATACCGGTTGTTTCATGATATTCAAAAATGATTTCATACTTCAACTTAAGACTGTACATAATAGAAATATGTCAGGTCTGACATTCAAAGTTTCATTCATTTTCCATTTCGAATTCTATTGTCTTTCTTGTTCTTCTCTTTCTTGCCCAAAATCTTCTTCCTCAAGCGCTTCTTCAGTGGTAGATCTTTGATACAACCCAAATCTATATGTTTCTAGGTTTATCAGATATCTCCAAAGAGACTGTCTTTGTGGCAATTCCATCTTTGTGGCACTTAAGACTTTTTTCGTTGCCATTCCGTTGTTATTTTAATGAAACAAACTTGATCAAATGAAAATATAAAAGAAATATATAAATCATACTCGGGAAGAGCAAAATGAATGATATCAAAAATTATATCCAGAGCTTCATTCACTTCAAATTTGAAATCCACTCGCTTTCATGTTATAATTTTTCTCATTATAAAAATTAAATGATCTTTATCTTCTCCCGGAGGGCCCGAGTGGTAGATCTTTGATATAACTCAAATGTGGCAATTCTATCTTTACGGCATTTATTCTCTATATCATTTCAATTGTATCGGATTAGACTTCTTCTTGATGGCAATTATATCTCGTGGTGCTTAAGAATTAAGAATTATGATCTAGCATATTCACAATTTGTCGTTAAAACTTCACTATTTTAATTCTTTTATTATTTTATGAAGTGGTCCCAATAATACATAAAAAATATAGAAAAAGGCGGATCATACTTGACAAAAGTGTAATGAATGATGTCAAATGTAGAAAATCACAATCAAAGCTTCAGACACTTCCATTCCAAAATCTACTATATTGCATGCTCTACCACTTATCTCCCTGAATTTTAATGATCTCTATATTTTCCCGAGGCCCTCTGGTGGTGAATCTTCGACATAACTAAAATGTGGCAATTTTATGGTACATATTACGTATATTGCTCTATTTTTATCGAATTTATCCGGTGAGACTGTATCTTTATGATAATTCTATTTTTATGGTACTTAAGATTCTGCATTTAGTATATCTACAATTCATTACTAAACTTTATTATCGTGATTCCTTTGTTATTTATATAAAACAAACCCAATCATACGAAACAGGAAAGCAATGACATCTTAATCTGGAAAAACAAAACGAATGATACTTAATTTACGTGGTAATTCCATCTCTAAGATACTTAATTTACGTATAATTTTGTTGGGTGTTTTAAAGGGACTCTTTATCTCTACGGCAATCTATACATGGTACTTATGAGCAACGACTTTGTTATCATAGTTGTTTTTGTGAAACCAACCTAAAGATATGAGAAAGGAAATAAAGAAAAGTATAATACTTGTGAGAAGTAAAATAAGTGAAACCAAAAGTAGAAAATCAACACATTGAATGCTTTCTTTTGTAATAAGATTGTTTTATTTCACACCATGTAGACACTCCATTCCCAGCGGAGAGGAAATTCCAGAAACTTAAGATCAAGACTAGTCACCATGAGCCCTAGGACCACCCTAGGCTTAAAGACCAGCACCCTGGTATCCGAGCTCCGCAAACCTTAGTGTCCATCATTTGGGCCGGAAATCTAATGCCAAACTTTAGTACAAACCCCCCAATAGGCCAACAACCACCTTAATATAACAGGCAATCTAGAAGCAACAGTCCTAGATGGCCCATCTAGCTTCTAGAAGGTGGCACCATGAATGACTAGCAGCTCCAAGGATAGCAACGCTAGAGTTGGGGGTGACCCATCTGAGCACATAAACAACTGATGGGGTCCCAATGCCAAAGTTGGGAGGAACCATGTCATAAAATCATTGGCTCAAGTCACAAAGCATGTAAATTGATTCTCTAAAAGTAGCGGTATTACTAGCAATATTAAAATTGGTGTGCCCAGTTGAACACAAAAATAGGTGCCAGTATTACATAGATCAGAGGGTATTTGAACTTAATTGTAAATCTCCAATGAAATAACCATCAATGTTAGAAAGGGCGACTTGGACCAAATAATCGGTCCTAGCTCGAGCCGATTACTCGGGCCGAGTCCCAATAACTTGATCGATTAGTGTCAAGTAAGTTAGTAGCAAAAAAAAAAAAGGTTTTAAAAGTTATAAAAAATATAAAAAAATCTAAAAAATAAGAAATGTATGTCTAAAGTAAGATAAATCAAAACACTTTCAAAATGATGTTTAAAAAAAAGTAATAAAAAGTTAGATTTTAAAAAATCAACTTGTGATTGGAGGTATTTTTTAAATATTTTTTTAAAAAGATGAAAAATACAAAAATAAGTATTTATGACCAAAAAAACTTTTCACTATTTGCCAAAATGATAGAAAACATAAAAATTCTTTATTTCTTACAATTTTTAGACCGAGTAACTCGACCAAGTAAGAACTACTCGGTCGATTTTGCGAACAATGAAAAACACTATAAAACAAACTAAATTAAAAGAGCATGGTTGCATTCGATCATCAAAAGTTATTTGCAAAAGAGACAAAGAAAAACAAACTAACTTACAAAGTAGAATAGTATTTGATAGCCAACAAGATGAGCATGTGAACGCCCAAAGTACTTTAGCTTGAAAAGGTTCACCCCAGCAAGTCAATAGTCCATACAGTTGATTTGACCTACAAAAAGCAAGTCTATATTAGTTTAGTAGGGCGCAAATCATGTAGCAAAGATATCAAATATGCATATGATTTTCTTTGCCAATTGCATAAATTGCGGTGTTAACTGATAATGGCATTAAGTCACTGTATCACTAGTTGTTCCAATTCATATAAACTAATAAATAAATTATTAATAATTTTTCATTGAACATAAAATCGAAAAAGAACATAACAACAATAAATCATCACAACTTATACTTTGAGAGAACCAAAACAAAATCCAATGCATACACTTATTAATTTCAAAGAGAGTTTTCATCAAGAAGCCAAAAAGTGCAATAGGCAGGCTAAATCATTAGTTATGAAATGAAAGACAATTAATAATGGGAAAGTAGAGCAGATAAAGGTGGTGCTAACAACAAGTGACAGGAAAAACACAAATTAGGCAGGTACACGTCCTAACGCCTAATGACAAATGTTAGTTACAACAACACCAAATTACCTATGGAAACAAATGCACCATGAGGCTAGAGTTAGAAGCGTACAATTTCAACAGGGAATTATGAGACGAGACTAAGATCAGGGGAAGACTTTGTTGATGACGATAACCAATATTCACATTTTTTAGAAGAACGAGATACTAAGAGAAACACAATTGGAATTCACCGGAGAACTACACAATCTAGCTAAAATACTAAAGAAACATAAAGAATTGCATAGAGAAAAATAGGAGAGTCACACATAGAAGAAAGACCAACTTAAGGAGAATAGAAACTGAAGGATGTCAAAAGAAATTATGTCCTTAACGAATAAACATAAGAGAGATGAATTGGAAGGAAAGAACACTCATAGAAAGAACGCCATTACATGAGAGAGAGCCAAACCGAGAGACAAAGTTATCCAAGATAATGCAATTACTGAATTCAAACTTCTAAACTGGATTACCAAAAACACAAAGAAAATGAAATAACGTGGAGAAAATGGCCTTGATGCAATTACATAGAAATATATCAAAATAAAGAGAATATACACTTACTAGATTCAAAATCCCAAGTCAGATTAGAAAGAAGGACGTAAAAAGAGAGGGGAATCAGAGAGGAGGGAGGGAGGGGGAGGGGGAGGGGGAGGGAGAGGGAGAGGGAAATGAAAAGAGTGAGAGTAAACTGAACATTAAATCCCAAGCCTACCAGTAGAAACACCAATATATCTCATATAATCATTAAATCAAAATTAAAAGGAACGACAACTAGAATTCACCTGAGCACTAGTACATAATCCCAATTTTTCACAATCTAGTTACATTATAAAGAAAAAGAGTCCAGAGATAATAAGATACTACAACTTAATTGTAAATTTCCAAGGAAATAAACACTATATAACAAGCCAATTTCAAAGAGTTCGATTGCATTTGATCATCAAAAGTTATTTGCAAAAGATACAAAGAATGCCCAATCAAATTATAAAATACAATAGTATATAACCCAACAAGATAACATAGAGCGTCGTAAGTACCTTAGCTTGGCATAGAAGGTTCACTCGAGCTAGTTAATCATTAAGACATATGTTTTTCCTAACAATAAGCAAGTTAGCTTGGTATAGAAAGGTTCACTCGAGCTTGTTAATCGTTAAGACA